GAAGATGAAAACGAGACAGCCAAACATCTTCTTTTAAGACCGTTGCCTTGGCGATCAGAGTTTGTTGATCGCCACTTCATACGTCTAGATGGACACTCAAGGCGGATTGCTAAAAGGCATGGCGGGCCTGCATTCCTTGAAAGAACATATGGCATGCCCAGTAAACGGAATCCCCCATCAGATGCCTCCAACTATGCCTTACGGACATAAAACACCGCATTCAGGCTTTAAAGGTCTCATATGTAGCACAATTAAATCATTGGATGTGACATTGTTTGTTATCGTTTATTTTTGCGTTATTGAAACAGATGAGGACAAGCTCAGTGTTACTGTATGAAGTTAGATCAAGCCTGTATGTCAAATTTAACGCTATAGGTAGTCTTTGAAAGTATATTACTTGAACATAGAGCTACTTGTAAAGGAGAATCAGTGAGACGGGTGATACAAGGCCTGTGGAAAAGCTAGTCCTGCTTATTCAGGGTTACTATATTTACAGTAACAGCTGAGCGGAATGGGTAATAACATGGTTTAACCACTATGAGGCTATTAAAAAGGGTCACGTGTTCTGCAATAATATTCCAATTATGTACTCCCAGAATTGCAGTTTGCACAGCAGTTCGAGCTGCATAGACATTGCAATTACGAGTCGGATAGTTTGGGGTATTTGCATGTGCTCTAACAGAAATATGGGACTATTCTGTCGGGATATCTAGGGACACCTGCGAGGACAAAGGGGATCTCGCTTTGTTTACCACTGTGCTTTTTTATCCCCCGATACAGACAGTGCACACAAGACGTAACTGATACTGGTAGGAAGCGCAAATGCAACATGAAAAGGCGTGCTAGCTCGCATAATACTGCTTTTTTTGCTACACCCGCTAGGTGATAAGATTAATGAGGTCACATGAACGTTGATTTCAAACGTATCCAAATATGTGAAAATGAAGTAACATGAAACAAGTATTTCAAAACTTGGAAACATATGGCCATCTTGCCTGAGCACAGGTCACATGAACATGTATGAACCGTTCATATACATAGCCCTAAAAACCGGTATGATACATAAATATCTAAGGCATGTAAACATTTGCAAACTGTATTTGAAACGACTTTTAGTAAGTCCAGAGCCCTCAAGCACTTGGTTTTCAAATATTTTCTGTGTGGTAAGAATGTCAGGTGACGGTCGAATATGAGTCCCAGGAATTTGGCCTCTTCTACTACCTTGATGGGAGTACCATCAAAAGATAAGTCTGGATCCTTGTGTGGTTTTTATTTACGATAAAAGTGAATACACTTTGTTTTGGATTTTGAAACTTAAAGCCATTTTCATTGTTGTAGCTGCCTTTCTATTGCGTGCATGTTCTTACCAGCAATACCCTTTGAGACTGCAAATGGTTCATTAGCAAAGGTTGCTTGTCACAAGCTTCGATGTAGAAAAACGTGGGCAGTAATTGGATCAAATTGGCGTACTCTCGTCAGACGACGAATTGTCAGAGTCCACATGTCTTCGTTTTGAACTGAGTTATTGGGAAGCCATGTCGTAAGGAATGTGGTTCGGCATCCCCTCTCCCCACCCACCATGGAGTGTTAACAAGGACGATCTTATATTGCAGCGGATCTCCAAGCTGCAAAGACCGGGGATAAGGGGGTGCTATACTATTGATAAAAACAAACTTCGACAATATATAAATGCCTGTCGACAAAACACATTAAAAGAACTAGAAGATTTACATTTAAAACTATCCATAAAACAGAAAGTTTATACACAAGAAACGATATAAAATATGAGCTATAAGATCGCAAGCAACTGGATGAAGGTTGAAATGCTCACCACACTAGAGAGTCGAGACAATTGTGGACAGTGAGTGCGTGAGCTAAAATTATCACATAGGCAATATTTCAACCATATCGTGACTAGAATAAGTCATGCGTTAATATATAATGTATTATATTACAAAATCTTTCGTCAGAGGATTATAAAAAGTCTTCTTAACGAGGAACATACAATACAAATCATCAGAGTGAGAATCTTCGTTAACGCTTGTATCCACTGATCAATTTTTTGTTTTAAACATATTTTATTCACGAAAAGGATTAGGAACATGTTCTCCAACTTAAACTACCTTCTCCTTGATATGTACATAGGTAATTTAGATTTCCGCAAATAAAGATGACAGATAGTGGACAAGAAAGTAGAATAAGTAAAAAGAGATAGAGCTAATACAGAATAATATCAATATGCTATGCAAATCGTATTGTCTCACTAATGAACGATTGCACTAACTTGAATACTTTTGCATTTTCACATGATGATAGGTCTGCACGTCCTTCTAACAAACGGTTAAGGTCGACTGAAATACCTGCTGTTGAACAAATGCGCTTAACTGATAACATGAAGTTAACTCTTTCTTGTTTGTACAATGGACATTCAAACATATAATAATACGAGTTCTCAATAAAATCACCACATATACAAATAGCATCAGTTTTCAATCCAACTCTGTACAAATCAAAGTTCAAACAACTAACAGAATAACGCTACTTGGTATGAATAATACTTAATCTTCTTTTACCACACGAATAATACTGAGGTGTATATGTATGGTTATCAGTTATACATGATTTAAAAGTTGAAACACTTTTTGGATTACGAACGGTGGTTTGTAAATTGTTCCAGGAGCATATTGTAGATGGAAAGAAGGATTCTTTTGAATGTTTAAGTCTTGGAATAGGAATCGATATATTTAGAGAACTGCTCCGATTTTACTTTGATTTAGAACCAACATTTAAGGGAAGCAGTTCTTTTAGGTATGCAGGAGCCATTTCATTTTGAAATTTATACATCAAATATAGTTTTCGTTTTTTATGACGATCTTGCAATGTTTCCCATCCAGTTTCAAAATAAAGAAATTCACGTGATGTATATTTTGGTAAACCAGTAACTATTCTCGCTGCTTGTAATTGAATCTGTTCTAACTTATTCATTTGTTCAATAGTACACCCGTCCCAGATTTCACATGCGTATTCAAGATGCGGCCGAATAAACATGGTATAGATCTCATTAAGAGTATCCCTACACAATACATATTTTACTAGTCGCATGGAGGTAACCATGGAGTGTCAACAAGGACGATCTTATATTGCAGCGGATCTCCTAGCTGCAAAGACCGGGGATAAGGGGGTGCTATACTATTGATAAAAACAAACTTCGACAATATATAAATGCCTGTCGACAAAACACATTAAAAGAACTAGAAGATTTACATTTAAAACTATCCATAAATCAGAATGTTTATACACAAGAAACGATATAAAATATGAGCTATAAGATCGCAAGCAACCGGATGAAGGTTGAAATGCTCACCACACTAGAGAGTCGAGACAATTTGGGACAGTGAGTGCGTGAGCTAAAATTATCACATAGGCAATATTTCAACCATATCGTGACTAGAATAAGTCATGCGTTAATATATAATGTATTATATTACAAAATCTTCGCCAAAGGATTATAAAAAGTCTTCTTAACGAGGAACATACAATAAAAATCATCAGAGTAAGAATCTTCGTTAACGCTTGTATCCACAGTTTCAAAATAAAGAAATTCACGTGATGTATATTTTGGTAAACCAGTAACTATTCTCGCTGCGTGTAATTGAATCTGTTCTAACTTATTCATTTGTTCAATAGTACACCCGTCCCAGATTTCACATGCGTATTCAAGATGCGGCCGAATAAACATGGTATAGATCTCATTAAGAGTATCCCTACACAATACATATTTTACTAGTCGCATGGAGGTAACCATTTGTGAAACTTTTTGTATCATATTTTGAATATGTCCAGCCCATGTTCCATTGTGGGTAAGGTTAAATTATCAACAATTTTAATTTCAACACCATCAAAGTAAAGATGTGGTATATTGATATCATTTTTCATCGAGAATAGGACAGCTTTCGTCTTTTCTGGATTGTACTTAATTAGCCATCTTTTACCCCAAATATTTAACTTACATAAATTAGAACATAAGCTACTCTCTTTTCAATTTTGAGGTCCTTTATCGTTGATTTAAGACCGCTAAATTAAACATTTAGCGGTCTTAAATCAACGATAAAGGACCGCAAAATTGAAAACAGAGTAGCTTTATCTTCATTTTAGCACGACTGATAAGCGTTTTAAAACTGAACTGTTTGGCACGCAAGAACACAAGGCGCGAAGGGGCCTAATTCCTGGAAATCGCTTGGAATCGTCCCGTTGAGGGATAGGTTGTGAAATGAACAAAATAAGACATTTTCAACAACATAAATGCTGTATTTCAGGAACCAGTATGCTTGCATTTGTAACAAGTAGCATACATGAATAACAAAAATACAGTTTATACTGTGAGCAAGTACAATAACAAAATTCTTCTTCAAACCATTCGCTTTTCACTTCAAAGACACCAAAGATGCTGCCGAGAGAGAAATTGCCGATGTCCGACATGTTTATTTACAAACAATGGTCAACGAGTTCGTTGTATTCATACGCGGTGAACGGTCACTTTAATTAGAGGTCTTAAGCTGCCATTTAAGTACGGTTTTGATGAGCTCTCACAGATTTAATCGTCCTTCATCGTCCATAAGTTAAAAATGCCCCCCTATAATTGACCCACTAGATGCTTATTCCGGTCTCCTTCTTAGAGTGAGTGAGTGTAGCTTTACGCAGCTTTTAGCAATATTACAGCAATATCACCGCGGGAGACACTTTCCTCTATGAGATTTATCATGAAAACCGTACACTCCACGAATGTTTATACTTTTAAAGGGGGACAGGTCTAGAGCAATTGCCGTGGACTGGTTATTGCTTTTTATCCCGTGAGTACCCGGATGATATCCAAGAATTCTTGACTGGTGCGTGACCTCTGCTGCGCCACCCGCATTGATAGTTTAAGTATAGACTGATCAGCAAAGATGAAATAAAATACAAATATTAACGTTTTGTGTCCCCCAGTCTCAAATCAACTTCTGACGCGTCTGTGTAACAATAATAAAAAGGTCAATGCGAAGGCTTCTAATCAAAAGTAAGTCAAAATCCCTAAATTTTGCTCTAATTTTTCACACACAAAATAACAAACAAACGTCACGAATTTTAAAGTTTAGCAACATCATCAACCCAAATTATGGTCGTGCTTTTATAAAAAATATCCCCAAATGATTAAAATCATTCCAAATGTAGAAAGTGTTCTGACAAAAATAACATCTTCTGAATACAAGAAATTCAACGGCAGGTAATCCCCTATATAACGTCATTTTGTATTACAATAACAAAAGAACCCTAATTGTCAGATTTGGACACCTGATATATGCAATTTCTATAAGAAATCAATATTTAGGTAGTCTAAAGAGAAGAACTTACCATGAGAAATTCCGGCTTCAATAATAATAATAACAAAGATTGTCATAATATACTGCCTCGTCATCGCGCAGGACTTATAGTGATGTATCCTCAACAGAGAACGTGTTCGCTATGTCCCTGGATATAAGCGAGAATGAGTCTATGGCGTATAAAGTGCAGACTAAATCTATAATTACTGTAAATAGTTCATTTTCAAATTCTTTGCTTTGCTGTACAGAGCATGTTCTTTTATAGATCGATATTCGGATCATTTTCCCTGATAAGAATCAAAATGCCAAACTAATTAACTGAATATGGTTTGGGTATCAGGCACCTAATCTCCAGCACCCAAATGAGCCACTAACCACTCAGTATATGGTATTCGAAATACTCTGCATCATTCCAACGCAATACGGTAATTACCTATTGATTGGCGGAGTGATGCGGTCAATGTACATATCCACAGGAGCATGTATTTGCTAATTACTTCAGTTCAATTATGGAGAACCTCTTTGTACCTCTTTGTAAACAAACCATTGCTAGTCTATATAACAAACTACATTAGGTTTGTCATTGCGATTCAACACTTACATGGAGTATCGACCTAAAAACGCACACGCTCAACAGCTAAGCAACGAATTTGAAAGAGAAGTATTTACAGAAGTAATAGATCTTTTCTCCAATTTAGACGCTGTTAGATCATACCCATTTAAATATTGAACACTCTTTTGAGGACACAGGATAGGGAGTCCTTCGCTAATGCATCATGACATATCGGAGTCTCTCTGTGTTTGGAATACCTTACAGGGAGCAATTCACCATAATGAGGGAGTTAATCCTGACAATATGTATTGTATTTGTCATTGAAGCCAAACTTTCTTAGGCTTTGTCTTTGTGAAACTGTCATGACATGATTATGTCTTTACAATGAAAATGAGAGTATTAGGGAATGCAAGTGTAATATCTGCCAACATATGCTGTTGTTAAGGCGACTAAACATTAACTTGTTTTTGTGAGTATTTTTATACAAAGGAACAATATTTGAGGATAGACCGCCATTGAATTGATTGTGATGATGTCGGGGCAATATTGATTTAACTGATGTAACATGTATTGTGTGACTACAGATCAATCGTTTCATAAAAGTCCAATTACAGGTGCTTCAATTGTCGCCTATACCCGGAAGCAGTCGCATATTTCTCCTCTCCAAATACATTAACAGGTTACCTCTTTCAATGAAGTATCAGATCAATTTCAAATTTGTTGACTTACAACTGCCTCCATTCCAGTTTGGTTTTTAGCCGGGTAGATGAATACGTGCCTCATCGAAACACTTCAAGGTTTCCCAATTTCCAGACTCAGTCTGAAGCCCTTTGGCGACAGAGCCCTTGCCTGTATAGATCCTGCTCTCACACAATCTCTTCTTCACTGGATTCTTTCAAGTCAGGACTCAAACATACCCCGTCAGAAATACTCTTGTATTCTAGTGATATCTGTACACCGCCTCTCTGCCAAAAGAGTATTGTGGAACACATTGCCAATCCTGATAATCCAGCTCCCATCCATGCTATTGGAGGGACGATGAGTGAGTGAGTGAGTCACATCGGCAATATTTCAGCCATATCGTGACTAAAAACAAGTTATAATTTCAAAGTAAATACAGGTAAATTATAAAACTCAACGAAGGACAGTAAAATAACTAGTTTATCACAGATTTCAATTTAAAACTAGTAATGAAATATAAAACATTTTAGTTATATATGACAATACAACGTAAAACAGGCTATAGTTTGCCAACGACTGAAGGTAGAACACCATACTAGGCACCATGGGGTAGGGGCGATGATGGAAGGGAGGCTGTGGCATGATGGAGACGTGCTGCCACAGTAACTGGTAGACCCTGGTCCTGGATGGACGATGGTGGACGTCAAACTGGAGTCGCTTTGGTTGTGGGTGAGTGAGTTACAATTTATAGTCACAATGGCAATATTTCAGCCATATCGTGATTAAAACAAGTTATCATTTTATAATAAATAAAGTGCAATTGTAAAAAATCTGTCGGCGAAGAACAGTAAAAGCAAGTAGAATATCACAGATATAAATGTAAAACTGGTAATTAAATCTGAAACATTTTAACTATACAGTACAACACAATATATAAACAGGCTATAGATTGCAAACAACTAAAAGTAGATCACCATATTACAGACCATGGGGACTTGCAGTACATTTGCTTCCTGCATGGACCCTAGCTGGATTTGCACCATCCCTTTAGCTGTCAGTAATTGTCGACCAATCTGGACATGACAATAACAAAGATACTACCGTTAAAAACTGGTAGCTATAAAACTACTTTGAGAGACCTCTAAGGGGGTCAATAATTTTGAGGTACTCCAGCCCCCGCCGAGGGCACTGCCACGAACAATCTCACTTAATAGCCATATCCTACCGATTAACAAAACATTTATCCATATATACATCGCAATGTATTAATTAAATTCCTTTAAAAAGCTAATGATTAAACTAGAAGTAATACTATTAAAAAGTTCCTTCATTGATGATGATGTGAAGTATGTATCCCTTGTGATGAAGAAGATCAATACAGTCAAGCAGGACATGCTTGACCGTGATTTTTGCATCACACGGAATACAAAATGGAGGACCCTCACCTTTCAGCAAATATTCATTTATAGGGCCAATGTGACATCGTCATATAATGAACTCCTCGAATCTGGACTGACAACCCAACTTGGTTTAAACTATGGTTGGTTTAATTACATGTGATTTGTTGGTACCTACCTGAGTTTCCCACTTCTTTTGCCTTAAATTACAAAAGAAGACCTGTAAATAATCATACCCAACCGATTTATAAAATAATTAGCTCTACATTCATCAAAAATTAATTTCCTTTAAATGCCAGTGCTTAAAGTAGAATTTATACTATTAAAAACATCCTTCATTGATGCCGATTTGAAATATTGATCCCTTGTGATGGAAAATTAAATACAGTCAAGCAGGACATGCTTGACCGTGATTCTTGCATCACAAGGAATATCTTGAATAGCCAATATATCTTCGCTTAGTGGGTGAGTGAGTGAGTTAAAATGTAAAGTCACATAGACAGTATTTCAGCCATATCGTGACTAAATCATGTTATAGATTTATGATAATTAACGGTAAATTATAAAACCTGTCAACTAGAATGTCAAAGATACAAATGTAAAACTAGTGGTTTAATCTTAACCATTTTAACTTGATATGATGAGACAACATAAAACCAGAATATGGATTGCCATAGATCACCATACTATGGACCATGGGGACTTACAGTACCACAGTACAGTACTACCTGCTTCGGCCCTAGCTGGATTCCACCGTCGTATAATGATCTCTTCAAATTTCGACTGATAACCTAAACCGGTGTAACCGGTGGTTGGTTTAATTGCATGTAATGTATTGATACCTAATAAGGTTTATACTCACTGTATCGGATCAGAAGTGGTGTTACAGATTTGTTGAGTGCTGCCTTAGCAGCATGATCGGCCATTGTATTACCAGAAATACCAACAGAGGACGATGTCGTATTGCCCAGTAGCAAGATCATTATATGCATTATTTCGTTTAAAAGTGGATGTGTGCAAGAAAGATAGCCTGAAGGCACGAAAGATAGTCCGAGATGATATGTTGTTGATATTTAGGGTGCTTAATAATATATTTTAAGGCTTTTAATATGTCGTTTGCTTCAGCTGTGAAAACTGAGCTGTTATCTGATCTGGAATATATTCCTCTGGACCCAATGACAGTGGCACTGCCCCTCCCCCCTTGGATCCATCTGTAAATAAAGTTTTGTATGTATCATAATTATTTCTTAATTGATTAAATTCCTGTCTTTACTGTATTTCATTTCATTCTGACTCTTTAATGTGGTCAATGTAAGGTCGAGGTGTGGCCCTTCTAATTACCAAGAAACAGTAGACGGAAAGGAGGTAACCCAAGAGGTGGAAGAAGTGAGGATTTTGTATTATGCAATTCCTCGCAAAGAGGATTATACAGTTGTATGCAGGATTGGATTTATTAGAATACACATTTGTGATACATTGCAAAGATAGTTTAATACGGCGATGTTTTACAGGTGGCTCATCGGACCGGACGTAGGGACCGTCAATAGGTTCTGAAAGATCCGACACAAAGTCTTAGACCTCAATGGTTGATAGAATCAAGAAGTTTAAGGTTGCTTTTGCAGGCTCCACCACAGTTGATGGAGCCATAATCGAGTTTTGAACAGATCAGTGCCCTGCACAGTTGGAGGATGGTCTTCTGGTCCCCTCCCACTTCGAGTTAGAAACAACTTTCAATATATCTAGTGCCTTCATGCATTCATTTTTCAAAAATTGTATATTTGGCCGAAAGGTCAAATGTTGATCGGAAATCAGGTTTGGTGCGGTGGATCCAGATGGCCTCCATCAATTTCCTCTTCCGCCAATTGCTGATGTTGACGGCCAAAATGTCAGTGTCATCCCAATTGACGTTATGGCTGGGATTTCTGATCACATGTTTTGATAACGCTGAATTCGTTTTTCACCGATGCTTTGTGCTCTTTCATACGAGTACATACAGGCCTGTCTGTTTCACCTATGTAGGTGCTGCCACATGTACATTTCAATTTGTACACACACCCTCTTGGGTTAGGAGTAGTTTCGCTGCTTCCTTTACCACAGGCTTTCTATAAAGATTTTAGGGTTTTGCCAGATGAGAAAGCAGTGCTGGCAGTCTTCTTTAGTAGTCTACTGATGTGATGACTGATGGATCCAACATAGAGCATGTTTAAGCAGATAGGACATTAATTTCGATGTTACAAGGTCTTCTTGATGGTGGTTTCTAATAGGTGTCTCGGGTAGCCTTTGAGGGTGATGAAGGTAGATTTGAGGTGGGCTAATTCTTATTGAAGACTGGAGGGACTGTAGATGTTCTTGCCACGTCTTGCACTCTCCTTGATCTCTGTACATCTCAAACTGTAATATCTCACTGGCTTCCTGTACATTCTATATATTTTGCTCGTAACCATATTCTTTCCTTCACCTGATGAAGGGGCAAGAAGTAGTCCAGAAACGCCGTATTGTAAATATAAAAGAAGTTGTAAATCAATATCATACGTTGGCGTTGTTCGATTGAATTTTGTTTTCTATACTTGTGAAGTAATTTGTGTATATAATCACCTGTTTCTGTGATTTGCGCCAGTAATAAGCTGTGCTCATCATTGCTAAATCCATCATCGATTACAGATGACAAATTTCCAACTGCGAAATCGCCGTAATCCATCAATGTATCGGTTGCTTGGTTTACGTCGGCCATGTTGGTGGGCAAAGGAAAATAGTGTAAGATTACACAATGCCGTTTAGAAAGTGGTCAAATGTAACATGTGTTATATTTGGGTAAAGTACAAATTCTAGTACTTTTGAGTTGAGTTCCATCCGGGATTCGAACTCACACCCTCAGAAAATAGTGTATCATTGCGCACGGAAAGTCAGATATCTGTAAAACGTGATTACCGGTATATAACTCTGAATTACTGTAATTAACCAATCACAATCCAGTATTTACTGTTCGAATTAATATTATATCACGAAAATATCTTCAGTAATTGCGATTAGTGATATATGATTGTAGGGAAATGCAAGTTATTAATCACATAGCTTCGTCAGTCGGAAGCGTTCTTCTCAATATAATAATAGAATGCTCAGATAACGTTTCATCCATCTATGGAAAACTGTTGAGTGTCGAATCAGGCGTTACGTCCCATTGACTCGTGACAGAGCCAGGATATACGTATGTCTCCATGGGCTCTTTACCACTAATTGTATATGTGATGTGATGTAAGAGACGGTGAAAGTGTAATGATGTGGACAAACCCTCCCACACATATGGAGAGAGTGAGTGAATGAATTTAGTTTTATGCCGCAATATTCCAGATTCATGGCGACGGTCTATAATCGAGTCTGGACCAGATAATCGAGTGATCAACATCATGAGCATTCATCTACAAACTTGTTGCTAGTACAAATCAACTCAATGGTCGAAAGCCATTCATACAGCCACACGTCCAGGATATTGCAAGAAATGCTACACTTTGTAAACATACGCACACATGCACTACATCCACCTCTCAGCAAACCCGGCCGCCTCCGTGGTGTAGTGGTTAGAGCGTCCGCCCGGAAAGCGGAAGGTCGCGGGTTCGATCCCCGACCGCGTCATACCAAAAGACGTTAAAATATGGTACTTGTTGGTCCCTGCCTGGCGCGCGGCATTAATGGGTACAACAAGGACTGGTCGGCTCGGAGTCAGTATAATGTGTCTGAGTGGGCACTGCGTCATGGTATCTCAGTGGGCTAGCACTATAAAACCAGCTTCAGTCTGGGCTAGTACAAGCAGCCGCACATACACATGCACTCGCATGCACGTCGTCATATGAGCGAAATATTCTCAAGCACGACGTTAAACCCAATTTCACCTCACCTCATCTCAGCAAATCCCAAATCGTTTTATTTTTTAAAGACAAAACAACCCGAGAAGATCCAGGTAAGAATTGGTCTTCAGCAACCCATGCTTGTCGCGACTAACGGAATCGGGTGGTCAGATTCGCTGACTTGGTTGACACGTCATCGTATCCCAGTTACGAAGATCGATTCTCATGATGTTGATTGTCTGGTCCAGACTCGATTCTTTACAGACCTCCACCCCAGAGCTGGAATATTGCTGACTGAGGTGTAAAACTAAACTAAACAAAGTTTTAGTTCAAGGAATCAGAAAGCAGGTTTGCTACTCTAGTGGTCCCTTCATAAACGCTGTGGGATACAAGCAAACTCAACTTGTAAATAAGTATATCTGTTTTTCAAGACACAGCACATTGATACTGAGTGCGTACCAAAATATGTCAGTGAGAGGAAGATAGAAATGACCAGATTCACATACATTGTATAATGGAAACATTCACCACACGTCTGGATTCTTTCATTTCTAAACAAAACAATCAATTAAACACATAATCTAATCAACCTTCATTTGGATTTGATGAACACGTCTAACATTTTCTTCCACTTTCAAAGTGTTTGTTCAGTGAAATAAACATCTTCAGTTACTTTACTGTTCTCTTCTTTTGATTCATGAGATCTGAGTGTGTTAGTTTTTCAAGTCACAGCACAATATTGCACAGTGCAGTCCCAGTACACAAAGCAATGAAGCCACCTCCTATCTGGTTTAATGCGACTGACTTCAATGTTCTGTTTGGCGGACAATGTGTCACGCTCCACATTTCCCACAATCGATCCAGCAGCCCGACAGCGCTCATCTGAGACATCCTGTCATAATACACAACGATATGAAAGCTTATATAAACATCAATATAAAGTTTGAAACCCACACACAATTCCGAGTAATTTGTGTGCGACGCTTTCCCCGAAACACATCCAAACATATTACAACTTACAGTCGGTTTGATTTCATTTGAGATCGATGAATTGCTCACTAACACAAAATCTGATAATTGCAACAAAACCATTTTGACAGGTGGAGGTTTAACATATCGTTAGCTGGTAAGCAATATTCCTATCTATTTTTTTTCTGGATAACTTACATTTTCTCTTTGTCGGTTTTCAGAGGTGACCCTTTTGGCAATGCAAATGTATGTTGTATGAATAACAGCCTCTCTCCTTGATTCTATAATTGGCAGTCATCAGCCATGCGCTTCTCTATTTCTGATTTGAAATACAAAGGGCATATTTTTCACGTTCCACTTGTCTTAGATGATTTTCCAGCGAGGATTCCAAAAACCCTGGGTCGTTGGTTTTCATCTTTGACTATAACCTTCCATACAAACTTGATGGGTCATGTGCCTGTTGGTTAAAAAGGAGAAGTGGCATTAGTGGAGACAATGTGTTGATGTACAGCAACAATATCTCCTGCCTAATCCATATTTAGATGCTAAAGTTGGCCCACAGAAGTAAATTCATGTTCTCGAAGATCATTGGCATAGATATTCGATGAGATATTCATAACCTTATCGATTATGATGTAGTTTGAAATATATTTTATGCTTAATTAGCACCAATCTTAGCATAAGAAGCTGAAAAGGAAGTGATATATCTGTAAGCTCGGAAAACATACTAATCATGTCGTAAGAGTGAGTGAGTGAGTGAGTTTGGTTTTACGCCGCTTTTAGCAATATTCCAGCAATATCACGATGGGGGGCACCAGAAATGGGCTTCACAAATTTTGCCCATGTGGGGAATCGAACCCGGGTCTTCGGCGTGACAAGCGAACGCTTTAACCACTAGGCTACCCCACCGCCCCATGTCGTAAGAAGCAAGTGCAGGAATCTATATGTATATGTCAGCATTCAAGCATTTAGTTCCTTACTCGATTCTAATATGTTTTTCAAGAGATTTTATGTTGAAATAGCACCAGTAATGTCACATGCAGATACAATTTGCAGTTTACATAAATAGAAAGAAATTGGAGCAACGATTGTAATAAAGGAAACGACAAGAAAATTTTATAGATATGAGAAATTTCTGCTGAAATCAGAGATTCCAACTTTTATGAAAAGAGTGATGATACCAGGTGTTCAGGAAAATGTTACCTTGTTCTTAACTTCCTAATGGGAAAACACTTGATTGTCGAATTGTTAAACACCACATTACGAATAAAAGGAAAAATCCCTTAATTAGTACAAAACATGCAAAATACCTTCAGTATATGGTTGAGGATACCAATTGGTTGCAACCCCACAGAATAGTCACTATCCAGGAGCCCTTGTAGGTCAGAGAACTGCTTAACATCCTTCTGTGCAGACAGAGCGGCGACCACGTTAGCACAGTAGACTGTGGTTATCACCATCAGCAACATCCACAAGGACGTCATCAAAACCTTCCCTGGTAAATTTCTAGGATATCTACTAAAACCTGAAAAATACATTTAGACATTTAACTAACGATTGATTAAACTCAGGGTTGTCCGGTTGGATAGTGTAGGGGCGGTTGTTAGACAGATCGCTCATCAGGCTGAAGACCCGGGTAAGATTCCCCAGATGGGTACAGTGTGTGAAGCCCATTTCTGGGGTTTCCCCTCGCGATATTACTGGAATATAGCTCCAGGTGGTCTAAAACCACACTTACTCACGCACTGTATCCTACACCCGAGCTATTCAATTCTGGCATTACGTACGAATTGGAATATCTTAAGAACCGTTCACTAGATTCTTTTCATATTTGGTACCTAGGTTCATCACAATTTATAAAAGGCCCAAGTCAGGTTAAGTGACCTTGACCTTCATTTCAAGGTCACAGGGGGACTTTAACGTTTTACCTGCATGTTACACTATCTCAAGAACCGTTCCCTGGATTTTCTTCATATTCAAGCTTTTGCTGTCGATTTTGGTGATCTTCACATAATTTTCAAGGTCATGGGGACACGTTGAAGATTTCAGCATGTAAACCTGCATGTTAAGCTATCTC